CGACGGGGGGAGTGGGCAGGACTCCTCTCCAGACTTCGGGCCCAGATGCCGAAAGGGCGGCCTTGGACGCGCGGCCGAGCAGGGCGGGGTCCACCGGCAAACAAGACATAACCAGCCTCGAACGTATCCCTATCCCTAAGATTAACAATCCCAAAGTCGACGACAATCTCAGGGATGCGCCCTCAGAAACGGTGGGAATCCCTAAGATCGGCATCGAGATGAGGCAATGCCAATCATAGGGATAAGGATATGTTCCAGGATGGTGAAGACAATGCACCGGCGAACAGGGCATGCACCGGCGGACAGGCCGACGTGCAAAAAAAGAGACGGCGTGCGGCAAGCGCGCTGGGCGCCCCCGTCTCGACGCCGACAACGCTTGAAAGGCGCGCGTGATCGCCGTGAACAAGTTCCAGTGCCAGCACCACGCGGCCCACACAGGTCAGCAAAAACCCACAAATAAAACAGGGCTAGGATCGGGATAAATCGCTCCAGAGCGTTCCGGAGCGCTCTCAGAGCGTTCCGGAACGCTCTGGAGCGGCCGCGGCGCCCAATACATCCTCCACACCCGCCGATTCTCAGAGATTTCGAGTTATCCCGATCCGATTTTGTCCCGATCTTCGCGTCGTTTGAACAAAGCCGTGCTCATCTTTCTGAAACTCTTCCCCGACAGGCCCGGACGGACGCCGGCGCAGAGCAGGGCGGCCAGGGACGGGCAGGCCCCGACGTTGAGGCAGCGAGGCGGCGAGGGTCCACTGCGACTTCCTCCAGGAGCACACGGCCTGCGGCCCCGATGCGGTGAGTAAGGTGGTGCATGGGGGCTGGGTCCTGGAGGCTGCGGTCTCTTTGGAGGCAGCTGTGGTGGCTTCGAACCCTGAGATCCGGCGTCTCGGAGAACTTGCGACATCGAAAAACATCACGGCACGAGCCCCAGACCCCATCTTCCTGCGCCACTTCTCGAGCCAGATCCATCCATGATCGGCGAGGGTCCCAGGGGCCCGGTGCTGGGCGGAAGCGCCAGGCGCGGAAGAACCGAGGCGCCAGGATCTCAGCGAATGGCGTGTGGGGGAGCAGGCCAGGTGAGCCCAGAATGGAATCGACGAGCCGGATCGGCGACCGACACGGACGCCGGCAGCCGAGCCGGGAGAAGTCGCAGCGGCAGCCCCCGGCTGGCCATAGTATACGCTCCCACTCCGGCAGCACCGGAGCCCAGATCGGAGCACAAAGTCGAACACCGAAGCGGCATCCCCAGAGATCCGACGTCGTGATTTTTTCAATACGGGGCCCCCGGAGGTCTCGACCCGTTCCCCGGGACCGGTTTTTCATCCTGAGTCGTTTTTTGACGGTCCCGGGGCCCGGCGAGGGCCCCTTGAGGCCGAAACTTGCAAAAAACCTCCGTCTTGATTTTTTCAATACGTTGGATCTCTGGGTCGGCAGCCATCGCAATCGAGCCGAAGCGCGCCGCAGGAGTCGCAGCGAGCCCCCAGCCCCGGCGGGCGCCGGCGGGCGGCGGCGGGCGGCCCCCCGCGAGGCGCCTTCGCCCTGGCGGCGCGCCGCGCTCCCGCCGCGGGGCGCTCGCGCGCGGCCCGGGCGCCATGGCGAGGCGCCGGCCCCGGGGGCGGCGCGCCCGCGCGGGCGGCCGAGGGCCGAGGGCGCCCTGTGGGCGGCCGCCGGGGAGGGCGCCGCGGCCGCGGGCCACTGTGGCCTCGCGGGGTCGCTCGCCATCGCTCGGACGTCCCTTCCCCGGGCGTTCGCCTCGGCTTTTTTCGTGCGCGCGGTCTTTTGTGGCACGGTGGCCCCGCGTGCTCCCCGAGGGTCCCTGCCGAGGAACAGGCACACGTCCGAGCGATGCCAAGGTCGCCCTGGTCTTCTGGCGTACAATACACACTTGCAGACGTACATACACACGAAGAGCTGCAAACTTCCGCAGTTGGTGACACAACTCTCAATGAAGCACCTCATACCATCAGGCATCGATCCTACAACCCTCGTCAAAAATAAACTGAGGGATTATGTTTTCGGTGATTGTATGGTCAGCGCTACTCCAATGCTGACGCTAGATATCTGACGTGGGCGCAAGGGCTTCAAAAATCCGACGACCCCGCCGCAGCATGGAAGAACGCAGTTTCTAACAAGTGCCCGAGAAGATCGACCGTCGTGATTTCCAACTTCGTTTCTGTTTATTCTTGACGAGGCTTGTAGATGCACTGAGTTTGTATCAACATCTATCAACATATGCGTGGGGAACAAATTAACCACAGACCAGTAGCTTCGCGTGTCGCCCCGGCGGCCCGGGCGACACGCGCTGCCCTGCGAGGGGTGCGGGGCGGGAGGCTTCGAAAAGCGCTCGGGACGTGGACGCCCAGCCTTGCCATCGCTCGGACGTCCATGACCCTGTGCTTTTTTCGGTTTCGTGCGTGGCTTTTTCGCCACGTGGTCAAGGATGCTCCTCGAGGATCCTCGCCGAGGGAAAAATGCGCACGTCCGAGCGATGCCGAGTGGTGAACGCGGGAAGTGGATATCGCGTCGCACCGAGGCGCGGTGGGCCGGAGCCGGCGGAGCGACAGGCTATCCCAACAGGGGGGTCGGAGTAGATGGGGTCGGAGGATGCCGCCACCAACGCATCGCCGATGCACCGGCGACGCCTCGGCGGTGCTCTGGCGACGTCGGCGATGCACTGGAGACGTCGTCGAGATGCATCGGCGACGTCGGCGTGGAGGTCATCGGGCTCCTCATCGAGCCGCATCGCCGGTACATCGTCGACGCGGCGCGATCCTCCGATCCCATCTGCTCGGACCCTGTCTAGGAGACACACATTGTCGCCCATCGGCCTTGGGCGATCGTCTGGCGGCCTTCTGACTGCCTTCGGCGGTCTTCCGACGGCTCTCGGCGGTCTTCTGGCTGTCTTCGGCGCGACAGCTGGGCGGCTGCGTTCAAGAAGGGGCCCATGATCGAACACCTCAGATTGCCCAGACACTCCGAAGGGCTGATTGTTTTCAATCTGGGTGTTTTTCCTCGAACTGGTCCTCCGGGGGCAGATTTCGGGCCCTGGGGCACTCCAAAGAGGGACCAGCGACGCAGAATTGCCCCCCTGAGAAGCGGTCTGGAGCTCTCTGGGGCCCCCCTGAAAACATGCAAACTAAATCCTCTCCATATCGCCCCCTCTGCCCGCTGAAATCTCGAGCTCGCTCCGAGACAAGGGGGAGATATGGGGGCAGAGAACGCGAGCGGTCCACGTGCAAGGCGCAAGCGGGGTAGAAGGACGATGGGCCCCCTCCTGCAAACCCCAGCCAGCGAGGGAGAAAGTTGTGAAGGTGTGTCAACTGAATTATAACTACCACTGCCCCCAAGAGATGGGGGGCCAGATGAGCTCATCGTCGCAGAAACCTCAGAACTACTTCCGTCGGGGCCCCTTTCTCCGGGACGGCCGTTGCACTCGCCGAGGCGGGCGAATCTCTGAGAAGCGGACGCGCAAGCAAGGCGCATGTGCTTCCCCCCAACCTCGGCCAAAACTGCTTTGTTCACGATCACAGTCACACTGCCAGCCGAAAGGCCACGATCGATAATAGCAATCTACACGGAATTAACTCGAATGGCACCCTTGGTCATATATATATGTATATATATATATAGATCGTTCCCACGAGCCCCAGGGACCTGACATGCTTGCGCCCGAAGATCCATGCCACTGCCTGCCTCGCGTTCCCGAGATAATAGAACAACTTGCGAGATGACTGTGGGAGGTCACGGCGGACGCGGGGCTCGAGGTTCATTCCGCCGTCAAGATCAGGAAGGGTAAGCTGTCCTTCGGGCATGCACTTCGCATGGGACGTCGAAGCCATCATAATGCTCGGGAAGCCGATGCACACCTTCTTACTACAGCTGAGAGCCTTAACCTGGAAGTTCACGCTCGGGGAAACAGCCTGACGCACAGTAGCTTCCAGGAGAAGGCGACGGAATCCCAAGAACACCAGGCGAGAACGATTGCCGACATCACCTACTTCGTTTCGACGCCGAACCTGCCGTTCGAAGTTCTCATCATCGTCAGGAGCTGCCGTTGCTGCGATAGGGGTGCGGGTGCCTCCGAAGTGTGTGTTCCCTCGCCGCCGCTAGCTCCCCGTCATCGTCTCAATGACACCCATCACCTCCTTCGTCATCCCCTTCCCAGCAGCCTTACGGTCCTGAGTGGCTTGCAAGAGGGTCTGTTCCTGGAATTGAACGAATATGTGCGAACTTGTGCATTGTCTGTTTCGCATGGTCTGCATATGTCTGCATAAGCGTTCTGCAAATTCCGAAAGCTCTTTTCCATTCTTTTCCGCCTGCAACATATGGGCCTGGATTCCCGAAATCGGACGGCTAATATCAGCGACTCCGCGGTCCAAGAGCTGGGTGAGAGAATCCACGCTGCATGACAGTAGTTTGATCCGGTGTTTCACGGCTGCCAACATGCTGGAATTCGCCGCCGTCGTGCCTGGGGGAAAGCGGGCAGTCGGAACGGCTCTCACTCCCATCGCTCTCCAAAGGACTGGTGGGAATCTGAGCGTCCCCAGTCCAAGGGTCGCATTCCGCATGACCTCCATGGCAGGAGGTGGAAACATGGCAGGAGCAGGGTAGACGCGACCACCAAGGGCCAGGGGGCGCGGCCGCGGCCCGCCCTTGGGTGGCGGCCACCAGGCACCTCGAAACAGGGTGGGAAGTTCAGGAGCAGACCCCTGAAGCCAAAATGGCTACGGAGGGGGAGGAGGAGGAGGAGGAGGGGGAGGAGGGGGAGGAGGAGGAGGAGGAGGAGGAGGGGGAGGAGAGGAGGGAGGAGGAGGAGGAGGAGGAGGAGGAGGAGGAGGGAGGAGGAGGAGGAGGAGAGGAGGAGGAGGAGGAGGAGGAGGAGGAGGAGGGAGGAGGAGGAGGAGGAGGAGGAGGAGGAGGAGGAGGAGGAGGAGGAGGAGCCCCCCACGGGCGCGGGAGATGAGAAAGAAAAGGAAGGATCGAGAGGGGGGGCGCGTTCCCTTTCGCCGCGCCAGCAGCGCGTGGCGAATGGCGGTGCACAAGAGCCGCCGCGTGGGGGAGAGAGACGCGCACACGCGCGAGTGCAGTCGGCCCCCGCGGCAAGGCCACGGGTGAACTTCGGCCGCCTCCTCGTGGTTCCCCCCCGTCCTCTTTCCTTTCCTCCGCCTTCTCCCCGCCCCTCTCTCTCCTCCTCCCCCTGTTCCATGTCTTTTCCTCCCCCTCCTCATTCTCCTCCCTTCCTCCTTCCGCCCCTTCTCATCATCCCCCTTCCCCCCATTCCCTTTTCCTCCCCTTCCCACGTCCCCCCCTCCTCTCCTTTCCTCCTCCCCCTCCTCCTCCTCCTCCTCCTCCTCCTCCTCCTCCTCCTCCCTCTTTTCCTCGTCGTCGTCCTCGTCTCGTCCTCGTCCTCGTCCTCCTCGTCCTCCTCCTCCTCCTCCTCCTCCTCCTCCTCCTCCTCCTCCTCCTCCTCCTCCTCCCCCTCATGGTCCCCCCCTTTTACTTCTCAGCAACTTCCCCGTCGCACCCAGAGGCCAGTCAGCAGGGCGGGCCAGGCGGTTATAGCCCGAGACCTCCTCACCGTCTATGCTCTTGAGGCTTTCCACGTGTTGGCTGTCTCGCGAATTGCGGGCGGGTGGTTTTCAGCGTGCGGGTCCCATCTTTAGCGCCGCGCGCACCCGTCCAAGCAACCGCAGGAGTTTGCAGGAGTGAGGACGGGCCGTTTCCAGATTGTGGCTCTCGCCATGGCGCCGCGTACACTCGCGTAAATAATGCAAGAATAGCACGGGTTGCGGGCGGGGGGGGTCAAAATGTGCCTCTCGCCATGGCGCCGCGTGCAGGGGCTTCATGGATTGAGGGCGGGCCGTTTTCAAACGGTAGCTCTTGCCTTAGCGCCGAGCGCATTCGTCTGAAACATTCTTTCGCGGATTGAGGGCGGCTCCTTTTCAATATCTGGCTGTCGCCTTAGCGCCGCGCACACCCGTCTGATTCATTTGCCAGGGTCCCACGGGTTTCCCAATATAACCTATCAGAAATGGCATCTTGGAACGATGCATGGTTGCCGGGGAGCAACAGTTACGCTGCTTCGTGGTGTTGAAGTCCCAGGGGTGGCGTTTTGGCACGATTCAGGATGTCCAGGACGCAACAGATCAAGTTGATTCGTGAATCAAGTTGGTTCGTGGCCTTGGAGTCGTGAGAATGGTCTTCAAACGGTTGTCTCCCAACGGGGCACTTCCCTCAGTTGAAATAAATCCCTGTAGGGGCATGTGAAGAGGAAGCTTTGAGGGAGCGTTGATGCCAACATCGTTGACGAGTTTGCGGTTTACACTGGTCCTCCTCCTCTTTTTCCTCTTCCTCCCCCTCCACCTCTTCGTCGTCCTCTTCCTGCTCACCCTCCTCCTGCTCACCCTCCTCCTCCTCCTCCTCCTCCTCCTCCTCCTCCTCCTCCTCCTCCTCCTCCTCCTCCCCCCCTCTTCATCCTCCTCCTGCTCCTTCTGTCCTCGTCCTCCTCATCATTATCCTCCTCCTCCTCTTCCCGGAACTGGAAACCTCTGTAGAAAAGGCGAAAGCACGCAGGGGGGACAACTCACCAAATTGAAAGAGGGGCGCAACGTACAAACAAGCTGTGAGAGAGACTGCCGCCTGCAATCTGCCCCGCAATGCTCACCAGTTGTGACCTTCAACGCATGGGTCGAAGGGGCGCATACACGTGCTGCAAGCCATCATCCAGGGGCAGTGGGGGCACCTCTACAGTAACACAGGAAGGTGTATGATCGCTTGCGGGGCCGCGAAGATGAGTGGCATGATGGCGGAACGTGGAGCTCGCGGGAAACGAGCACGGCGTGGCGGGCATGGCTTCGCTGGCGCAGTCTTGACTGCACCAGGCTCGTCACGACCCACAGGAATGATGTGGAAGCCTTGCGGATAGTTAATTACATGCTACCTTTCTCCTGGGGCAGGATCCAAGCCGCGCTGGAGACGTGGCCAATTGATCCAGAGAAAAAGCAGCGGGCTCAACGCTAGAGGCCTCGGAGCAACGCTGATCGAACCAAGCGAGATCCACCGCCCTCCGAGTCCGAGGCGCGCCTCTCGGAAACGCAACCTTCGAAACGTGCAAGGACCTGGGGAAAAGAGGGCGTGGCGCTCCAGGGCGCTCGCCGCGCCATAGGCACGACAGGCACACGCGAGGAGCGCGGATGCCCTCAGGAGGCCGCTGCCGAGGCCCAACGGAACCCGTTCCCGCGCAGCGAGCGAGGCGGGGCACGCCGCCGGGGAGCTCAAGCAGACGCGCCGCGCAACACCTCCCGCGGAGTGGGCCAGCGAGCGCGCCCACGGCAACGCCTTCTCGAACCGTTCCCCCATCAGTGCCTGCACTGAAGGGGCCCTGGCGGAAGTTGAAGACTTGGCGAAAATTTCTCGCCGATTTTGGTAGCAGGCTGGGTTCCCGGGTTCCCGGTTCTGGGTTCCCGGTTATTGGTTCCGGGCCGACTTCGGTGGGTTCTTTCCCGGGCTCCAAGGTTCCTGGTCGATCTCATCGGCGAAAACCATCCACTGATTGAGGCTTTTCTCTGGTGTAATTGTTGCAAAATGTGCAGGGGTCGGGGTTCCATTGGATTGCCAGCCGCGCTATCACTCTGGGAATGAATGGGCAACGTCGCTGGGGGATGGGGCGACTCATGCACGAGGCCGCCAAAGTAAAAACACGCAAACCCCGGGCGTCTTTGGGCCCCCCCCTACAGGCCGCGGGGCTCGAGGCCGCCATAAAGGAAGGAAGTCGCAACCAGGACAGGAGCCAGGGGAAGGATCAACGGAGGCAGGTGGAGAAACAGAGAGGTCCAGGTCTTGAAACAAGCCAGCTTTCCGTGCTTGAGATGCCTGACCAATCGATTGCGGGCGTGGAAATGGGCGTGGCAACGCGGGCAACCGACGCCCAGAACGCACTGAAGGGCGATGTCCGTCGACGGGTTTGCCTGAAGGCGTTGCTTGCGCCGCGCCACTCACGTGGCCGCAGTCTTGGCGCGCGTGCCACGCATCTGGGGCATCGTCTCTTTGTTGCCGCCAGCGTCGAAATTGCTCAATTCTTGCCCCATTTGACCTCGAGCGCGTGCCGTCCATGTTCTCTGCCATCGCCGTACCTTTGTACATGGTGCCGTCCTCTGCAAATCTGCTAAACACCTCGTCATTTCCCTTGTGATCTCGCTGAACGCTGACCTTTTCTCATCCTCGCGCTATGGGCGTCTGAAATCTCCCGCCCTCCATCGGGATCGCCCCGCTCATCGCGGAAATTGCACTCTCCATGCGCCTCCGCTACTGCGCCGGGAAATAGGCGCCCGTCGTCGGGAGATATTGCCCCACAGTCGTCGCCGACATTATAATCTTTGAAAATGTTAAGACTCTTGATGATGTAGTCCTCGGATAGCGCGTTAATCTCTGGCCAGCCCAGGTCGCCCAGCGCGGCCACCCCGTCGGCCCCGCCGTCGGCGCGCGGTCTTCCCGGGCCCGCACGAGCTCTCGCAGGCGCCTCGCCACGTCGTTGTTCTCGCCAGGGCGGCGCGAGAAGCGGGCGGTGTCCATCTCGAGCAGTTGGCGGCGCCTGGCGTCGGGCTGCTCCTTGCATCCGCTGCTCCTGTCGTCGAGGGTTGTCGTGGAGGCCCCGGCGCGCCGAGGTCGGTGTAGACCGATCTGGCAGTTGGCGATGGTGTCCGTGGCTCGCCCATGGACGCCCTGGGCCGCGCTGTGGGGCCCCTTTGTAGTGGAAGGCCCCATCGTTGGCACGGAGACCGGGCGCTCCTGGTTGCTGGGATTTCCCCGGCGCCGATTCCCGGGCGTCCAAGCTGAAATATAGAAATACAGTACTTGGTCTTTCCACTCAGTCTCGCCGCGTTGGCCCTCGAGTACAGATGATGAGACGGCGGGGGCGATGGAGGAGAGGGAGGAGCATGCGCAAAGGCACGTGAAGGATGGCTTCGCGCCTTCCTGCTGGCCCGAAGAGGCCCGAAGAGGACCCGACGAGGGCAGTCGCCGGGCAACCGCATCTATCGGAATTTCAAAAACCAGCGTTTAGCTCGGGACATCCTCAACTTTTCACTTGCCGGCCCTACGCGACCTCGTTATTTATAGCAAATTACATTCGCCGGCCCTACGCAAGTTGAGGCCCGGCATTAAATGTACCTACTAGAAGAGAACCCTGGGCCCAAGCCCTCTACGGGAACAAATTCCTCCTCCTCCTCCTCCTCCTCCTCCTCCTCCTGCTCCTCCAGCTCCTCCTGCTACTCCTCCTCTTCCTCCTCCTCCTCCTCCTCCTCCTCCTCCTCCTCCCCAGATCCCCGACGCACTGATTATGTCGAAGCGCGGGCCCCGAAACTCTTGACCCCTCCCCCAGGACCAACCCTCCCCCAAGTCCAGCCTTTTAGCTCCGGATCGTTTGTTGACGATCCTGGAAACGGCAACCAACCTCGGTATGCAGATTTCCCTTCGAGACGTTGTGAGCCTAGGACCTCTGCCCAGAGGAGGCGCAGGAGGAGGAGCAGCAGCAGGAGCCACCATGGTGTGATCGAAATTGGGCAAGAGTGACCTTTGGTGCACGGCCTCTTGGGGGCCGCGGGGGGGGGGGGCCAAAAACGAGCGCGCGAGACGCTGCTGCCGCATCGCGCTCGGCGATCGGGGCACCCCAGTGGGCCCGCACCAAAGGCCACTCCGGGGAAAGGCCACTCTTGCGTGTAGTCGACGACACCATTCCCCAAATCCCTGCCGACACCCCTCTTGGCCGGTGTCTCTCGAGCTGCGCCCGGCCGTGGCAGCGCGAGCCCTCCGGCCACGGCCCTGGCCGCCCCTGCTGGCGCGCGCGCGGGCGCCCAAAGGCGCCGCCGCGGAGGCCACCCGCCCACCCCTGGCGGTCCGCGGGCGCCGCGGCCAGCCCCGCCGCTGCGCCGCTCAGGAGAGCGCTCGGAAGTCTGGGTCGCCGATCCAGCCTCCTCGAAGAGGGTGGGGGAAGGGGGGAGGGGGAGCTCCCGGCTCTCCCCCCTCCCTCTCTCTCCCTCTCTCTCTCTCTCTCTCTCTTCCTGTCCGCCTGCCTGCCTGCCTGCCTGTCTCTCCTCTTGTACATTTTCTCCCCATTCCTCCCTCTCTCTCTTTCTTCTTCACTCTCTCCCTCTCTCTCTCTCTCTCTCAAGCCTCGGCTCAAGGAATGCTCATGTCCCTAAGAGCCGCGGTGTCCCCCACCCCGAGGTCCTCTGAATTACCCGTGGTGGAGCTGGACCCCTTGCGGCACAAGGATACCGAGCGGCACCTTCCTTCCATACCTTCTACTCGCTGCGGCCGCCATGGGCAAGGGCCGCCGAGCGACGACTACGGCTCCTCCGACAAGGGGCTCACGCGCTGCTGACTAGACACTTGCGCTTTTGCTCGCAATTGACGCGTGCATCGCTGCCCTCCGTGCAGGTGGCACCAAACACGCCCCCAGTGCATACGACGAGCTCACGATTGGCCCGCCCGACGAGCTTGCAACGGCCTTTCGCAGCAGAAGCAAATATACAAACCAGCTCAAGGCCAGCCTCCCCTTTGTTGGCCAACACAAATCAGCTGGACGCAAAACCATCACCGACGCACCAAATTCAAAGTCCTCTGCGCGGGTGGGGCGTCGACCCCAGCCCGGGGCGGAGGTGCTCCAGACGCGGCGGAAGCACCCCTCCGCAGCCTCGACCCGAACGACTGGTCCGTCCCTGTCTCATCCCACCCGGCACGCAACACAGCAAGTGACGCCTTCATCACCAGCATCTCGCTCGGCGGCCACGATGACTGTTTTCGTAATAGCGCCGACTGGACGTGCCGCTTGCCGCGATCGTCCTCGGCCCCAAGAGCAACGACTACCCAGGCATGGCAGTGGCCGTCCCACTCCTGCGCACTAGTGTCGCGCCGTCCCACGTGGATGGCACCCTCGACTTCTTCGGAAGTGCAAAGGATACCTGCCGACAAAACGGAGCCGAGGTCGTCCTCGACACCTCCCAAGCCGTCACCTTTGTCCAAACAACCCTCCACGAGGGTGGTGCTATCGCTCAGGCCGAGGTCGCCTCCGCGCTATTCACGCAGCATTTCGCGGGTGTCGCCCCGATCAGCGAAGCTCGCTAGGGCAAGCCCGAAGCCAGCGCTGCCCAGGCTGCTGCGCGAGATTGGCACCCGCTCCCTGGGAAGGGCCAGCCCCGGTTGGAGCTGGACGGAGCTGGACGCGGCCTTGACAGACGCCGTCGCCGCCATCTTCACCCCGCGCTTCTCCACCGTAGCCATCGCGGAGAGGCACGCCAAGCTCAGCCGACACGGAACCACGAGTGGGAAACGCAAGCTCCGCGCCACCTTCGGCGTTGCTCCAACTGATGCCGAGGCCGTCCAGGGCGCGCCAGAGGACGAGGAGCCAGAAAATGTCGATGCGGGCAACCTTACATGGTGAAGGGGGAGTCCACGACGTACCTGAGGACGACGTCCGAGCCCCAGCACGCGGAGATCTGCAATGTGTGAATACCAATGCCATGGCTCGCCCAGAAGCGGCCAGTTACCTGCCACTCTGCACGAATGTCACCCGAAGCGTCGTCGACCAGCTTGATCACTGGTAGCTTCCCCAATGGTCAGTAGCGTGCGTTCCAGAGCCTCCACCGTGGCGGCCTTCTGCACCACCTTGCCTGCGAGGTCCGGGGACGCCGGGCGGTCGTCGGCAAGGCCATCCGACTCCGTGCCAAAACACTCTGAAACCATCTTCCGACAACGCTCTGCCTGGTTGGCGGCGGCAACCAGTGGAACTGGTTTGCAGCGCTGCTCTGCATGGGACTCATCGCGGTTTTTGTCTCTAGGTCGGGTCCTTCTGGCATGTCGTTTGGATGGCTACCTTGTGCCGCTTAGCGGTGCAAGGTTTGCTCTCCCACATTCGTTGCTGGATGGCCCAGCCTTGCTCTCGACGTGTCCAACCCAATCTTCCGACAACGCAGCATCAGGTGGCATGGACAGCCTCGCCCAATTCACTGCAAAGGCAACCCCCCACTTGCGGGCGCAGCTCTTGGCCGCCGGGTCGGTCCGGCTCGCCGCGAGGGCCCAGTGGGCGAGCGTGGTCTCGACGTCCACGACGAGGTCCCTCAACGTCGCCCAGGTGATCTCGACCTCGCGGAGCACCCAGTGCGAGTCGAGCAAAATTGACTCCTTCGGGAAGACGGGGCCGCCATGGGAAGAGGGCGCGGGCACCGGCGGACTGCGGGGTTAGGCGCTGCAGGTCGACGGCGGCGGACTGCCCAGGCGGGCCGAGCCCGCGCGCCCTAACCAGCGGCCAGCCTGCGCGAGCTCGTGGGCCAGGGTCAAGCAGGCTTACGCCTTGAATGCATTAGCATGGAATAATAAGATAGGACCTCGGTTCTATTTTGTTGGTTTCTAGAGCTGAGATAATGATTAATAGGGATAGTTGGGGGCAGTCGCATTCGTCTGTCAGAGGTGACATTCTTGGATCTG